GTGACCAGACCAAAGCAAGGGCAAGGGGGCAGGGGGCAGGGGCCAGGGGGCCAGGACCTAGGGTGGGTGCAGGGCACAGTATGTTGCACAGCTTGGGTCCCTGAGTCTCTGACACCGGGCTCGATCCATCATGAGCTGAGAACTTGAATCTCTCTCTTGGAAGCGGTTGTATTTTTAGATTTCTCTCATTTGATTTCCCCATCCTCCATTCCTTAACCAAGGCAGGACTCGCGCCAGGCAGCCAGTCCAGAAGGCAGACGACATTCACTGCTAAGTTTGTTTTCCTTCCTTCGTCAGGTCTGGGGAAAGCCTCAAAGGGGGCTTTTCCATGGCACCTGACCTTCGTCAGTATTCTGTGCCAGATCGTGACATACTCAAAGGGTGTTCAGCTGTCAAGAGAGCTGCAAGCATAATAAACTGGGGAACTAATTACTAGCTATTAAAAACTAATTTTAAATATCTTCTGTAAACCACTCTTGAAATCCATTCCAACTTTCCTTATATTCTGCGGGATGTAAAGCTGTCTTGCAGAGGAGGAAGGTTCCTTACCAACACGGGGGGGGGGGGGTCACAACTGACAGGTATCCAGCAAAACGCTTGCCCATCTCTCTTCAGAGAGCGACCCTGCAGGTCCAAGCTGGCTTTGTTTCTGACATGCCTGGACCTTAAAGTCTCTTGAAGCCAATCCAGACCTCAAGATTATTAAAGACAGTGGAGCCTTACAGTTCGATTAAAACAGCAATATCTATGTTGCAACCATATAATAAATATAACCATGGGGGCAGTCTGTCATGTATATTCAGTGTATATGCTTATTGGCACAGAACCTTTTAAGAAACAAATTTTAAAGGTTTACAGATACATAGTCTTATCATTGACTCTCCTCGCCCTGTCCCACCCCCCCAAAAAAAACAACTTAGCTTTTCTCTATGGAATTCCAACCAAGTTCTAAAGAGATACCAGTTTACAAGCAGCATACAAACCTGATTGCCATTTGCTTGCCCATGTGGAGAAAAGATCCTACCCAGATTGACATACTGAAAGAATCAGGGACCAGACCGATTCACCCAAGCACCAATTAAAAGCAAAATTCTACCCAAGTAGCTTACATTTTCAAAGGATAATTTATTCTACCATGTGAACTGTCTTGAAGGAGTCATGTACTCAAAGGCCTGAGATGGTCATCTGTATCTTTAAGAGCCACAAAATGCTCTTAATTTTAGCATCTCTATAATAGGAGGGAACACAACCCATGGAACAGAGAATGCACCCCGGGGACCCAGCAGAAGGGGACTTTTTAACAGCTGACAGATAACCACTAACAGGCATCAGTTCTTGTACCTACTTAGACTGTATAGACAATCACCCAAAGAGCTTCCCAGAAGTAGGCCACTGGTTCCACCACCCCTCTTCCTCAAAATGACCTCCAGAGAAAAGAATGAAGAAAACAGCTTTTGTGTGTTGAAATATCTTCCAATAAATCATCATTATGTAGACTGCTTTACCTAGGTAATTGCCTGTTCATTTGAACACTGGGGTTCTGTAGAATGTTGTTGGCACATTAATAAAGGGCCAGGAAGCTACTATGACAGAATTATCTGCTGTTGTTGTTGTTTTAAGATTGTCTTTTTCCCACATAAGAGAAAAGTATTTCTTACAGGATTCCAGGGGACTTCTCAGATTCCCTGATGAAATCTAGCACAGGATACCTTTATAGGGAACGCCTCCAGGGCAGGAGAGAAAGCCAGAAGGGAAAGCGTGGTTACATAACAGTTACCTAAAAGGAAATATTCCACACCAAGAAGCTGTCCAGATGTTGCCAAGAGGAATAGGAGGGGGGCTCCACTTGCCCATTGCTGTAGGATCAGAGTAGCCAAGAGGCAACTTTATGGAAAGATTTGTTGTGGGTGTTGAAGTAGTATCTCTGAGATTTTCTGGATAATGAACAAGTAAGCCACCCTGCCAGTGCTTGGAGTTTCACTCTCATCCTGGGAAATGAATTCCTTTCTTTTTATACAGTACTAACTTTCAGAACTGTTTAGTGACTTTGGGCCCACATGGGCAAATTCCTGACTCCGAGGCCTGACACTCCAGAGGCCCCTCCTTTGGGAAACTTTTCCATTGCAGTGAGAGGCAGGGTGAAAAAAAATAAAATAAAATAAGAGGCGCTGACCAAGAAAGTCCTCAAGCACTACTTTGAGCCCCCACATTCTCTGCGTTTATAAGGATGGTGGGAATTCCACTGGCTGCCAGCCAGGAGGCTTTCAGATGAACAGTACCACCAGGAGGTCACTCTTGGAGCACGTGGGGCAGGGGAGAGGTGAAAGCTTTCTCAAACTATTTCAAGCCACCTTTTCCTTCCCTAACACAGACCCAAGTCTGGTCTGTGTACACAGGACTTGGCCTTGAGGTGGGTGGAGACACACCCGGAGTTGAACCCAGGAGCAGGAGCAATCCTGGCACGTGGGATGTTGCTGCAGCCAAGCCCACACCCTCTGACTGTGTCCCTCTGCTTTGCCGCAGGAGGAGGTGACCAGGCAGCTAGAGGGCAGTTGGCGCTCCCCCTAAACAAGCTTCAGCCCCAGGCCTAGGGGCTAGCCCTGAACTCCACCAGCTCGCCATGATCGCCACCGGTGGCCTACTGAGGATATCTGCTCGAAAGCAGGACCCCCTCCGGCCGCCCAGCCAAGTCCCTAAGCGCAAGAGGAAAGCCAAGAAGAGGCGTAAAAACGACGTGGTGGTGGTGAAAGGCAAGCTAAAGCTGTGCTCCATCTCGGGGCTTATTGCCCTTTGCGGGATCCTAGTGCTGTTGGTGGGCATAGCTATGGCCGTGGTGGGCTACTGGCCAAAGGCCAGCGCAGCCAGCAGAGGGGGCAACAAGCAGCTACTGCCTGTGGCGAGTAGCCATCGCTTTGGGACCGCTGGCAACAGCAGTGGTGTCAGCAAAAACCCGACCAAGAGCCACTCTGGGACCCCAGGGGGTGTCAACTCCAGCTCTGTGGGCGGGCCCAGGAGTTCGCCTCCTACTAGATCTACAACGGCATCCTCTGCCTCCTCCTCCACGTCGGTGGGCTTCTTCTTCCGAATCATCTCAGGCTACTTGCACTCTGACAAGCTCAAGGTCTTTGGGCCCCTCATCATGGGTATCGGCATCTTCCTCTTCATTTGCGCTAACGCGGTCCTCCACGAGAACAGGGACAAGAAGACCAAGATCATCAACCTGCGGGACCTCTACTCGACTGTCATCGACGTGCACAGCCTCCGCGCCAAAGACCTGGACCCCAGGCCCTACCTCTCCCCCCCCCCCCCCCCCCCCCCCCGCGCCCGCCGCCCCCCCCCCCCCCCGCCGCCGCCGCTTCCTCCTCCTCCACCGCCGCCACCCCAGGCTCTGCGCCCCCGAGGGCAGCGCCGCTCAATGGTTTTCTCAGCTATGTGCAATCCCGGGGCCTGGAGCTGAAGCCTGGCAGCTGCACGGGCTCTGCGGATGCCTTCGGGGCTACTGGAATGCTGGCCAGAGGCTCATGGCCCCACCCCCCCGGGCCGGGCGGA